TCTGAAAGCATGAGGCCCAAAAGTTTCTGACTTGGTGGGTTCTAATAGGGTACTGTCCTGAGAGCTGCTTTCTGAGGGTGGTACTGATGCCCCACCTGCTGCAGGTTTATTGAGCACACAGTAATGGCAGCTAATGCTAATGAGGATAAATGATTACAACACTTGGCCTTGGAAAAGAGACCAGAGCTGCTAAACAGAAGTGCAGGTGTGTGAGCAGTTGAAATAATTTAGTCACAACTGCTGCCACATTTGATTTGGAAAATGAGCCAAGAAAAGTTATGGGCAAGCTAGAACCTGAATGTAAATGTTGATCCAGTTTTATTCATTCATAGGAATATGACCATTCAACTGAAGAACATTTCTCCATCCCATCTGGGCCACGTGGATAACACACGTAACCTGTAGTTACCAGTTAACAGATGTTATCTTCACAATGCAGCAGCTGAGATATTATTTTATATTTAACTAATTAGGATGTGGATGCTTAGATAAGCCCGTAGTCATCCGGTTAATGAGGGCTTCTGTGCATTCCTTAATGCTCTTTCCTATATACTACAACTCTTGAGAGATCATGTTCAACCTTTCCTCTCCCTAGATTTGATGGATAGTCATGTTATAAAATAAAAAATAGCAGTACCTTATCATTTATAATTCTTAAAGTTATCTTAGAGTATTAAATATAAATTACTTATAATCTGAGGGAAATGTGTTATCTTTGAGCTGGAGAGAAAAGACTATAGTTACATTTTTCCTTTCAGGGAAAGTTTTAGTTCCATTTATATAGGGAAGATATTCACCATCATGTCTGGAGGACATGGTAGATACACCCAAAATAATTTCTTTGTTTTCTCTATCATCTGAAGAAATAGTAACTAGAGTCCTTGCCTATCCTTTTCCTATACTGAATGAACTTGTAGCCACATTTGACAAGACATAAGAAGTTCAAACAGCACTAAGTATTTACAGCCTGAGCTGAGTGGCAGTGAATGAAGATAAACTGACTAAAATCTCTCTTGCAGGGAGGGGTGCACTTGCTTGTTAGGCAGAAGTCAGTGGCAAACTGGGGAACACAACTGTAGGACGTAATGCAATCAACAAAGAAATGGGTCTCTGTCATTTTCACTAACTTGTCTCTGAGGTTGCCATTTGCAGTTAGCTCTGTCTTGAGCTGGACCAGAAGGTCCCTGTGGAGATGGAACTAAGTCATCCTACTTAGGAAGCCAGTCTCAGAGGAGTTTCATCCCTGGTCTCACAGTGGTTCTCAGTCAACATCCTTGACCAGTACTGAGTCTTAACTCCTGCACGGCTTGTTTTGCTCAACTCTGTGCTGCATACAACACAATATGTGCCCTCTCTCACCACCATAAAGTTGCTTCAGATGCTCAGATATTGACTAGAATCAGAAAATGAGACAAGTTACCTTGCCTAGCCTATCTCTAGCACATAGTTCTCAGAAGGCATTGAAGGGCACATTTATTTTTATTTTCCTGCCACAGGATTTCTGGCTATTATCATCATCCATCATTTTCTTTTTCTGTACCCAAGTTGAGAGGCTGTCTTTTTATTTGATAAAGTCTATAATATTGAAAAGTTGTCATAGAGCACAAGACCCATCTGACAGTGAATCAATGGTGATTATTAAGGCACTTGCCATCTTCTCTGACTATGTGGTCAGGAATAAGAACCCTTGATTTCTGACCACGGCAGTTATTGTCAATAAATCCCTGCCAACTCTAAAAATAGGCATGCCGAATAGCACAGTGCCTTAACATGTAAAATACAGATCTCTTGATTCTTCTTCTGATTTTTCATTCAGCTCCACAATGATTTTAACTATTACAGAACACTGGCCAAGATAGATAGCCAACTACACACACACACACACACACACACAAAACATAAGTAAATGATAAGCTGTAAAGAAAACTCTTGAGATATTTTTGAGAGATGTGGCAAAAAAAAATTGCATAAAATTCTTGAAAAGATCAAAGCATAGCAGTTGTGTGAAAAACAAATGGGGTAAAACCAGAGAGACTCTGCATCATGGTCTCTGACTTAAGAATAAATAACAAGGGGCAGGCAATAGAACAGTAGATATCCAACTGAACTCACATGGGAAAGGTCCAGGGTTCATATCCCAAGTCCTTCCTGAGAATACCAGATGACCAATTGCTTGTGATTTTGGCTAGTTGAGAATAGCGGTATATTGTGGTGTGGAGACTCTGTTGAGAGTATCTGTTTTTTGTTTGTTTGTTTGTTTATTTTCTCTCTCTCTCTCTTTCTGTGTGTGTGTTTGTGTGTGTGTGTATGTGTGATGGAAGAAATTAATAAACTTAAGGGGCCAGTAGATGATGTGGTGGTTAGGGCACTGGACTCCCACGTGGCCAACTGTAGTTCAAGTCATAGACCTGACGGCTTTCTTTCTTACTTTCTGTCTCTCTCTATTTCACTTTGTCCCTCTCTGGTCAAATTAAATAAATAAATAAATAAAGTTAAGTAAATAATTACTAAAAAAATTTTTTTAAAAAAGGAGGGACCAGTGTTTGGCATAATGGCTATGTTGCTGGACTCCCATATAGTCAACCATGGTTCAAGTCCTGGACCCGGTGGCTTAAACTCATGCCAGACACGTGTCCGTGTGTGCCCAAGATCCCAAGAGAAGGGAGGAGAAGGGATTGCTATGTGGCCATCCCCCCTGGGGTGTGATTTCTCTCTTTCTGTTTCTCTGTCTCTCTCTGTCTTTCTGGTGAGTGCATGTGCCCTATAGCAAAAACCTCTCCAAAAAAAAAAAACCCAGAAATTAATAAACTTTAAAAAAAGAATTGATAATCAGTTACCCACTGGGATTAGGCTGAATAATAAACCCCCCAAAATATCTGCATCCTGAAACTTGGAACTTATCAATATTACTTTATGGGCAAAATGGACATTAAATATATGGTTAAGAAACTTGAAATGGGGAGATTATTCTGTATTATCTTTGTGGGCCCTAAATGCAATCACATGTATCCTTATAAGAAGGAGGCAAATACCAGAGAAGAGGAGAAAGTGATATGACCACAAAGGAAGAGATAGGAGTGATATGGCCACAAGCCAAGGAATGCTAAAAGTCACCAGTATCTAGAGAAAGCAAAGAATAAATTCTCCCATATTTCTCATACCTTGAGTTAAGACCCAAATGCTGACAACAAATTTCTGGTTTCTAGATGAGAAAGAATAAACATCTGTTGTTTTATGCCACTAAATTTATGATAATTTGTTATAGCAACCTCAGGACACTAATACACCACCCACAAAAGAGACCAGTTACTACAGATACAGGCCCAGCAGGCATTTATTTAAAGCTGATGACACTGTTCAAAAAAAGAGTTGTAAGACATGACACAAGAATTTCAGAATGACTGTCTGTCGTTGAATGTTGTTGACCTTCTAATGCTCTCTTTTTAAAAAATGGCAGGGTATCAATTGCATTTAGTAGATGTGACTACTGACTGGAAGGTTTATGAACAGTGCAGCAAAAGTTATGGGTCCTGAATCTGCAAGGATGTCAACTTAGACAAGGACAGCCAATGTATTCATTGGGAGTAATGACAAAATGTTTTTCTTCAACATGTACCAAAGATCAGAAAAACTGAAATCTAAATGTTGATTTCTAATGATGTCTCCTCTACAGATGTGTTTCTAGGTCTGGGTTTCCTCATCTATAGAATGAGTTAATCAGTTAAACTAAGGAATTTCTTGAGTCTTTGGCATTAAAGATTTTATCTGTCCCTGAGTTAAAGTTAAAATTTGAAAGAAGTTCAATTTTATGGACAAATGTTATGGTCACCTATGTGGACATCAGACAACCCACTACCCTAATCACAAATACCTAGAATCTCACCCATAAAAGTATATATGTGTGTGTGCATGAAATATTCCTCTATTTACTTAAAAACTTCTGGGTGAAATGGTACAATAAATTTATCATCTTGATTGTAGGTATTTTTTTTTCAGTCCATTATTTTTGCAGACATATTGCACTATAACTACTCTTTAATAGTTTCTATATCTGTACATTCGACTACACACCAATCTTCCTGAGAAAAGACCTTGCTTTTAGTTACTCTTAACTAAATCCTAATGAGCAAGTATTTACAATAAATATTCATTGGTTAGATTCATGACTGGCTGGCTGACCTTTCCCGCATGATACCATGTCAGAAAGATGTACGCAACAGAATGGCAGAGAAGGTCCCAGGAAGGGGAGTATGAAAATTAAAACAAAACAAAACATAACAAAAACAAAACCAAGAGAACAGTTTTCTGCCTTTCCGACCTGTGATGGGCAGTTAAGTCCACAAATCATCTATCCCAGACTTTTTCTCATAGCTCAAAGCCTTTTTCTTGTTTTGCTTTTAGGAGAAAACTGGGTGCTTTGTATCAGAAGTTTAGTTTCTTCTAAAACATTCTTTATCACTTTAAAGCACCATTAGACTGTTAATTGAAATAAAAGAGGCTTAATTTGTAACTGGGACTTGATGAAGTGGTAATTAGAAACAAATGTTGTATTGTATGTGAGTGCTTTCCTTATTATTAGCATGTCTATTGATTCTTTTTTAATCAGTCTGTTCAGTTGGATTTCAGAAAATTTTCCAGTGAAAAAAATAGTGAAGAAAATTGCCAAACAATGAGACATTAAGCAAAGAAACAAGTATGTAGCTGGGCTATTTTTCATGATCTGTCATGCAATTTTTTAAAAGAATTAATCCAACCATAGAGGAAGAAAATGTAATGAGTTATGCCCCACTCAAGCTGTAAAAATTAGTATTTATACATGGTATCAAGAGCAGATGAAGTCAGATTTGGCCCTCATGACTTAAAAAAGAATTATATATATATATATATATTCTCAATTTATAGCACCTTTGGGGGAGTTGGGTGCAGACACTAAATTAACGGTAGCCTACTCAGATCCTGTGTTTAAAATCTCTTTTATTACAAGGAATCAAGAAATCTAAGATGTTCTATTTCTTTGTTGACTTATTTGGAACCTGCTATAGAAAGAAACGGGACCCGTTTCCACATCCTTCTCAGGTAAGCTATTTAAATCACAACCAGAATTTGTAGTACATGCTATTTCTTATTACACTCTATATTGTTACCTATAAACAAATACTCAAATAAATGAGTTAAAAACATTCATCTTAGGTACATAATTAAGCAGGAAATATTTTAATAACTTAGGTTTCTTTCCTTCTAAACCAATTTTCTATCTGTTAAATCTCATCCCTGGAAAGTTGGGTTCTTATTAACTAGTCCATGAGTACAAACAAGATCAAGTCTAAACTCTTCCTTCTCCACCACTGGACTGCTTTGCTTTGTTATTAGATATTTTTAATCACTACCTATAACTTCCTTTATGCCTCTAGTTCTTATGTCCCTTTTCCTGAATCATCTTCATACTGCTCTACTTTATATTCTTCAGTTGCTTTCTAAATTTATCTTGTTGTCCATTTCTTAGGAAAAGACATCTATCTCTGTGGCTCCACCAATCCCACACTGGAGTGTGTAAGCTATTAGAGTCTGGCTCATTATAAAATGATTATTCCCAATATCTACATATCCACACTATACAAGTTTAAGACCCTTAGCATTGGAGTGACTTTTTAGACTATTAACCAGCTTTAGCATTGGGGTAACTTTTTTGACTATCAACCACCTTTAGCAGAATATGAAGAGCTGTAGCCAGAGTTAAATGCAGAGTTGCAAACAACTTTTGAGTTCTCTCACCCAAGTAACTACTTTACATAGTGTCTCAAAGAATTTGGAGATCCTGGACAAAGTTCCCTGGGGAAATTCTGCCCCCCCTCTCCCCTGTGAAGAGTGATATAAACAGTTACATTCACAGGAAAATCTAGAACATTATTATTCATATTCACCTCTTCACTCTCACTAATGTTCTGTTCCAAAATCTTAGTTTCTATTATGGGTTGAGAGTATCACAAATATTGACAAGGACACATTTTCCCTAATGGAGACCCAGAAGAGATGGAAGAACATAGTGGCTTCACTTTGGGAATTTAGAATTCTCCAAAATTCCTCATTTGCTTCCAATGATTTTGAAGTACCTTTTGCTTGGTTAATAGATGAGAGTTAATGGTTTTATAATATTATCCATTGACTTTAGTCATGGAGAAGGAACTACAGAACCCTGGGCTCCCCGTCACTTAACAGTGGATATTAGAGCAGAACTAGAGAAAATGTCACTTATTCAGTAGCACAAGACAAAAATGGAATAAAGGAGAGGAGAGGATTTACAGGGAGAAGACATGTCATTGGAGATAAGCAGGCTAAGAGGGGCAGACAGGATGGATCTCACACTTGAGAGATGGGATCTCTACTGGGTCCTCAGAAAACTGAGGACATATCGAATTGCTTCATGTAAGAGCTCTTCATTCCTTGCATATAAGAAGGCTTTGCTTCTGAATTCTACAAGTGTCCCAGATTCACTGAATGACATCCTATTTGGTAGAAATCAATGCTATTTCCTTTGTATAAATCAATCATCTAAGAGCCATATGCATAATTAAAAAATAAATCGGAGGAGGGAACCAGCAGTTAGTGTAATGGCTATGTCACTGGACTCCCACGTAGTCGACTGTGGTTTGCATCCCGGACCCGGTGGCTTAGAACTCACGCTGGGTGCATGTGCGTGCGTGTCCCAGATCCTGAGAGGAGAATGGAGGAGAAGGGATTGCGGCATGACCATGCCCTCTGGGGGGTGATTTCTCGCTTTCTGTCTCTATGTCTCTGTCTGTCTGTCTGGCGAGCACACATGCCCTATAGCAAAAACCTCTAATAAATAAATAAATAAATAAATAAATAAATAAATAAATAAATAAATAAATAAATAAATAAATAAATAAATAAATAAATAAATAAATAAATAAATAAATAAATAAATAAATAAATAAATAAATAAATAAATAAATAAATAAATAAATAAATAAATAAATAAATAAATAAATAAATAAATAAATCAGAGGAGACATAACTAAATGAAAGTGGGACATGAGCAAACTTAATATCCAGGTCAAATATAATTCTCTCAAGAAAAAGAACAATACTTTATTGTGTCATACCCAGTTATCTCCTAACTCCAAGATTTTGATTATGCTGGTTACCAAGATACATAGTGAAGAAAAACATCCCAGTCCTTAGTCATAAATCGTAGGTTCTTTTTCTGAGTTTGTTCCTACAAGCTTTGTGACCATGAGCAAATCACCTAATCACTCTGTTTTCCCATCTGTAAAATATGAAGATTAATACTTGTCTCACCCTGATTTGTAACAACATTTACATACAGCTTATGTCACTGAATACATAAATGAAATAAAAATCAGATATACCACAGTGTTTATCTAATATGACTCTCTTTCCTGCTCTTGTATATTCAAGAGTGAGTTCACAGAGTGCTCAGATAACTAACCTGACATGGTGAAAATCTTTATAAAGTCTATTTTATTTAATAAATAAATAAATAAATAGCAAAATAAATAAATAAATAAATAAATAAATAAATAAATCAGAGGAGACATAACTAAATGAAAGTGGGACATGAGCAAACTTAATATCCAGGTCAAATATAATTCTCTCAAGAAAAAGAACAATACTTTATTGTGTCATACCCAGTTATCTCCTAACTCCAAGATTTTGATTATGCTGGTTACCAAGATACATAGTGAAGAAAAACATCCCAGTCCTTAGTCATAAATCGTAGGTTCTTTTTCTGAGTTTGTTCCTACAAGCTTTGTGACCATGAGCAAATCACCTAATCACTCTGTTTTCCCATCTGTAAAATATGAAGATTAATACTTGTCTCACCCTGATTTGTAACAACATTTACATACAGCTTATGTCACTGAATACATAAATGAAATAAAAATCAGATATACCACAGTGTTTATCTAATATGACTCTCTTTCCTGCTCTTGTATATTCAAGAGTGAGTTCACAGAGTGCTCAGATAACTAACCTGACATGGTGAAAATCTTTATAAAGTCTATTTTATTTAGGAAGAAGAAAACTAAAATTTAAAAGTTGAATAAATGGCTCTTTCTCTTAGCCACTACTTTTCTTGGGAGTGAAATAAACCCAAGACCCTGACACAGACTGAAGTGGCCATGGGCTGATTAGTGGAGAGAGTGGGAAGACCATACAGGAAATGAAGAGGATGACTGATTTTAGCTGTTTGCAGAGTCAGTTCCTTCTCTGGAGTCAGTATAGAGGGCAGCCTGTAATAAATCTGAGATTAGTGCCTGGACCTTGTTACTGGAAAAGACTTACACATTCACTTTCATTGGTGAGATTGGAAAATATTTATATCGTCTCCCTTTTCTACGTGCCAGATGTGGCAAAGGAAATGCCTGGATGTTCTCAATTTCTAGAAGGCTAAACAAAAAGAAAGGCAGAAAGTGTGGCCAATAAAAACTCGCAAAAGGCAGACTCGGAGTGGCCCTGCTATCTTTCTCCACTAACAAACCCAGATGTGTGTATCTGAATACCCAGCCTACAGTCTTCTACTTAACCAAGGATCTGTACGATCTGTTAAACCATTGAGTGGTATAGTCAAAGTGGCAAAGTGATCTCTGTTGGACTAAGAAAGTTGAATTAACTTGCTTGTTATGTAGATAGCAAGGATAGGGTCAGGATTTGAACACAGCACTTACTGTCAACCGGCCAAGCCAGAACATTTTCCACCTCTCTACCCTGAGGTAATAGCTGTGATTCACATCCCTCGCACTTATTTTAGTCTGAAAGGATGTGAAATGATTTAGAAGTGGAAGGAGTATCTCATTTCCTATTGCATTTGTGAACTTTCCTCTCACTCGCAGATTGTGAAACCCTGACTGCTGTTGCCATTACTGACACTCATTTACAACATGTGGGTTCACTCAGCTTTCACAGATGGAGTTCTGTCTGCATTTGTTGACTGGTAAGTGCAAACTCATCATGGGGACTCTCAGAAAATGGCAAGAAAAATATCAAACAGGAAAATGTTGTCACCTGAAAAAAGTTAAGCATTTTACAGAGTACAGATGTGCTTTCTTAGAAACACCACAGCCTTAAGGAAGATTTTTTTAATACTTTTACTTAACAAGCACTTACATGAGTATAACCCTTACTATGAGCTGACACTGTTAATGCTTTACAATTATTAACTCATTGGATTCTCATGAGAACCCAATAAGGCAGATACTATTATATTCTCTAATATGCAGATGAGAAAACTGAGGTATATGGATACTAAGTGGTTACTGACCAGAATGATAAAGCTAATTAAAGGCAAGTCTGGGATTTGAACTCAAGAATTCTTGCTCCAGAATCCATGCTGTTGAGCATTCTGCTTTGCAACACCTAGAAGATAGCTGGCATAGAATAGACATGATGTAAATAAAGATTCTCTAAAGTGCCTATGCGTTATCATCCTGAATGTGCTTCCCTTTGACTTTTAGCTTTCTATTAGTTCCCAATGTAAAATATCTATAAAGTATTACAAGTAGGAGTCTGGCATTTAACACAGAGTATTTCTATTTTAAAAAAGTTGAAACTTGATTTTCAATTATCAAGGCTACCCTAGAGGACTTTTTCTTCCTTGTGAACTTATTGGGGCAGACTTTGCCTTTCTGTATACCACTGGGATCTGGAGGCAGCCTACACTACTCGTGTGTATTCAGCAGTAGCTTATGATCGAGATATGGTGGGCCTTCTGGGTTGAATAAATGGTGCGACACCTATCCTTCTACCTGAGGCTGGAGCTTGACTCAATGCTGAGGAAAGTCAACTTTTCCCTTCTACCTCCAATGAATGCTGAAATAATTCTTCAGTCTTCCTGAAGAGATTCCATTTTCTGTTCCCTTGAGCTTTCCCTTTTTCTTTTTTTTCGGAGAGGTTTTTGCTATAGGGCACGTGTGCTCACCAGAAAGACAGAGAGAGACAGACAGAAAGCGACAAATCACCCCAGGGGGGATGGTCACGCCGCAATCCCTTCTCCTCCATTCTCCTCTCAGGATCTTGGGCACACACACACAAGCGTGCCCAGTGTGAGTTCAAGCTGTCGGGTCTGGGATTTGAACTGTGGTGGACTACATGGGAGTCCAGTGACATAGCCATTATGCTAACTGCTGGTCCCCCCTTGGGCTTTTCTGATTTCAATCCTTCTTTGTGTCTTTTGCTTCCTGTGACTTTCACCACTTTCACCTTCTGGTTTCACCACACTTTTATTGTCCTTTACTTTTATACTTAGGTATTTAACATATGTTTCAATTAACTTATATTTATTGAGAAACTATTGCATGTGGCCTCTCTATTGATGGTTTCTTCTAATCAACATTAAACTGTCACAGATCCCAAAGTCAAAAACCTTATGTCATATGCAAACGTGACATTGAAATACTCCATGAATTGCTATAGGAGGTTGTGCTAGTTTCCTGTGGTGGGTGTAACAAATTCACATTAACTTGGTGGCTTAAAATGACACAAATTTTAGTTATAGAGACCAAAAATCTGAAATCAATATTATTGGGCTAAAGTTAAGATGTAGGCAGGGCTGTTTTTTTCTGAAGGATCTGAGTGTGAAGTCACTTTTCTAGACTTTTCTGGTATGTGGGGACACACACAATCCTTGGCTCATGACTCTTTCCTTATATTACTATAGCCACTTACTTCCATAGGCACATTTACTCCTTCCCATTCCATAGTCAAATCTTCCTCTGCCTTCATTGAAGATTATGTTTACAGCGACTAGCAGATGGCAGAATATTTAAGTCCCCGGAGCCACGTAGTCCTGTACTTGGCAGCTTAAAACTCAGCACTGGGTATGTGTGCATGCATGCCCACAATTCCAAGAGGAGAATGGAGGAGAAGGGAATGCAGTGTGGCCATCCCCTGAGTGGATGAATTCTTGCTTTCTGTCTGTCTCACCAGCGAGCACCCATGCCCTATAGCAAAAATCTCTATTTAAAAAAAAAAAAGATTGTGGTTACATTCAGGCACCACCTGGATAATCCAAGATAACATTCCCATCTCAAGATCCTTAACTACATCTGCAAAGTTCTTTTCCATAGTTTACCATAATGGCTAATTTCACTAGTCAACTTGTCTGGGATATGGGGTTCCTAGATATTTTGATACCCATTTTTCTGGGTCTGTTTATGAGGATATTTCTGAAGATTAACCTTTGTGTTGGCACAATGTGTAAAGCAAATTGTGCTCCTCTCTATGGATGGTCTCATCATATTTGTTGAGGACCCAAAGAGAACAAAAGGCTCAATAATGGAGTTTGTTTTTTTTAACCTATCTTCAAGGGATGTTGGCTTTTCCTCCTTTCAGACTCATAAGTACTTAGAATCCAGCGACATAGCCATTACGCTAACTGCTGGTTCCCTCCAGTACTATCTTGAACAAGAGTGGGAGAAGTACTTAGAATGCTGACTCTCCTTGTTTGCAGAACTTCATACTTAAAATGGAACTATACTGTTAGCATTCCTGGGTTTCTAATTTGCCAACTAAATATCATGGGTTTGTACAGGCTCCATAACCACATACATCAATTCTGCTTATACAAAAAAAAAAAAAATCAAAACAAAACCTGTGGGGTGTGTGTGTAACTGATTCTATTTCTCTGGATAACACAGACTAATATGGTAACATTTACGGGTTCTCAGGTGTAGATAACTTTTGGTACCATTATTTAATCTACCATATCTGCCCAATAGAGCTATTTATATTTCCAAGAACTGGACATTCCTTTTCTTGTTCAGTGGACAAACTAAAGACACAAAGTATCAAATCATTTTAAGTCTACACTTTCAAAAGATAAAGCTGTAAATAATGTGTTTTCTCTTTTTAGTATAATAGGCTGAGTGCAATTAAGCACATAGTTGGAATTTGTAAGTAGCTATTTTCTCTCATTCCAAAAAACTTTTAAAAAATTATAGTGTGACCACAGTGTTCCCATTTCAACAAAAATTTTGGAATCACGAATAATGAAGCTTAAAAATTTCCCACTGAAGCAAATAGTCTCTTAATAGCTCTCTCATTTCCTAGAGAATATGTTGGTTTCAGAAGATGTTTACAAATTCTTTAACAGACCTCCCAAGAAGAAGAAAATGTTCCTTCCTTTCTCTCCCCTTGAACCTACATTGATCTTTGTAACTACTTCAACAAATAGAATAAGGCAGAAGTAATGCTGAATAATTTCAAAGATTAGGTTAGACAAAGACATGATGATTCTATCATTTCCTCTTGGGTCACTCTCTTTCAAACCTTCAGTCCCATATGCAAAACAATAAGTGTATTTACTGAGAAACTATTGCATGTAGCCTCTCTATTGATGGTTTCTTCTAATCAACATTAAACTGTCACAGATCCCAAAGTCAAAAACCTTATGTCATATGCAAATGTGACATTGAAATACTCCATGAATTGCTATAGGAGGTTGTGCTAGTTTCCTGTGGTGGGTGTAACAAATTCACATTAACTTGGTGGCTTAAAATGACACAAATTTTAGTTATAGAGACCAAAAATCTGAAATCAATATTATTGGGCTAAAGTTAAGATGTAGGCAGGGCTGCTTTTTCTGAAGGATCTGAGTGTGAAGTCACTTTTAAGTGTAATGAGATGGATAAATTTCTGGACACATAATATAACCATATTGAAACAGGAAGAAATGGAAAGCCTGAATACACCAATAATAGTGATCAGATTGTATAAGTAACAAGTAGTTTCCCAACAGAGAAAATCCCAGGTCCCAGTGACTTCATTTCTGAATTCTACAAAACCATTAAAGATTAATCTCAGGACCAGCAGATGGCGAAATGGCTACGTCGCTGGATTCCCATGTAGCTGACTGTGGTTCGAGTCCCGGACCCCAGTGGTTTAAACTCATGCTGGGCGCATGTGTGTGCATGCCCAAGATCCCGAGAGGAAAGGGATTGTGGTGTGGCCATCCCCCTGGGGGGTAATTTCTTATTTTCTGTCTCTCTGTCTTTCTGGTGAGCGAATGTGCCCTATAGCAAAATACCTCTCAAAACAAACAAAAAAGATTAATCTCAAGTCTCCTCAAATTATTTCTAAAGATCCAAAAGGAAAGAACCCTCTCAAATTCATTCTATGAAGCCTCTATCACCTAAATCCCAAAAAATGACAAGGACATAATAAAAAAAGAAAACTACAGGCCAATATTCCTGATGACTACAGATGCAGAAGTCCTCAACAAGGTATTAGCAAACAGTATCCAACAACACAGTACAAGCATTATACAGATAGGCTTTATTCCAGGAATAACAGGATGGTTTACCATATGCAAAACAAGAAGTGTAAGATATCACCTTAACAGACGGAAAGATAAAACCATATGATCATATCAATTAAAAACTGGAAGAAGTCTTTAAAATTTAAAAATGGAAAGGAGACAAGGTTGTCCACTTCTCCCACTCTTGTTCAAGATAGTACTGGAGGGAACCAGCAGTTAGCGTAATGGCTATGTCGCTGGATTCCCACGTAGTCGACCGCGGTTCATGTCCCGGACCCGGTGGCTTAAAACTCACGCCGGGCGCGTGTGCGTGCATGCCCAAGATCCCGAGAGGAGAATGGAGGAGAAGGGATTGCGGCGTGACCATTCCCCCCGGGGGGTGATTTCTCGCTTTCTGTCTCTATGTCTCTCTCTGTCTGTCTGGC